GGGGTCACCCGCCACTCGCGCCGCGACCGCCATCCGCTCGGCCGCGCCGCCTCGCGCGAGCGCCTGTCATGGGCAGGCGTGTGAGGGAGCAAAACGAGCATTCAACGGGCGACGGGATGAGCGCGTCAATGCGACGCGTCCATTCTGGGATTCCCCTCACGCACGCGGATCGGCTGCCTTGCACTCAATCCGAATTTGCGCCCAATGCAGGTGCCGCACGCAGTGGCATACGCCGCTCTGGTTCCCCGGCTGCGCCAACCGCACCACCAAAAACGCAGACCTGGGTGTAGGCGCGCCACTCGTCTGGGTGCAGCAGGTGGCCCCTCGACCGCAGCCGCCCGATGTGGCGCAGCAGCGGCGCGAGGCGCCCGTCAAAAGCGGCGCCGCCGCCTCCGCCGCTGCCGCTCCCCGCCGCCGCCGCCGCCGAGCCCTCCCCGTCCTCCGCGCGCGTCGCGTCGCCCCCGAAAGGCGTGTGCGTCGCGGCGCGCGCGAGCGCCGGCCGGCCGCTTCCTTGGCCGCGGAGCGGGCCGGCCGTGCCCGCTGCAAGACCACGCGGCGTCGGGGCCGGTGTGAGGCGGTCCTGCTGACTCAGCGAGCCGGACGAGCCGCCCAGGGGGTACGAGGGTGCCCCGGCTTCACCGCCGGCGGGGGTCGGGCTTGTTTCCGCGCTGATGGGCGCCAGGGCGCCTGAGGAAGGGTGCAGCCCGAGGCCGCCCTGCGCCCAGCCCCATTCGTCGCCGCCGCGAGCGGCGGCGGCGCGTGCCAGTTGCGCACGGGCGTCCCTGCGTGTGACATGGGAGGGTGCTGCCCGTCACACATGTATATGTGATCGTCCCATTAGCAGAAGCCTCTGCATAATGACCCGACTCACGAACCGCGCTACAAGCTCAAACAATTCTCGGGCGCTGGCACTTCATTGCCTTTCATGCGCCGCCAGGCGCGAGCGAACCCAAACTGATATCAGCACGGTCAAAGTCGGTCAAACAACGCGCAGGTCGCGCGCCGGAACACCTGGGCAGCAGGTTTGAGAGCTCACGCTCCACATCGTCGTCCTCCTCGGTGGAGGGGCTGCTGATGTAGAGCACAGACTCCTGCCAGTGTCAACGTGTGTGTTTGTGTATGCGTGTTTGTGTGAATGCATGTTTGTGTGTATGTGAGATAGAGAGAGAGTGTCTGTGTGCTTGTGTGCTTGCGTGTGTGTGCTTGCTTAATGAGTGTATGACAACAGATTGTGTAAAGTGTTTGACCCTGCAAGGGCGGGCGTCAAGACTTGCGTCAGTATGCAGGGGTAAAGATCTTGATGCTGAAGGGAGCAATTGGCACTCTTGGGTCAGGGTGCATCACATACGACGATTAAAATATGACACCTTGCCTTGCTCTGCAAGGGTCACCTCGCCGTGCGCCTCATCAGGCCCCTGCTCTCCCAAACGCCGCGTAGCACCGCGCGCCGCACCTGCGACAGCCCCAGCTGCAGCGCCAGCCGCAGCAGCAGCGCCCACGGCCGCCGCATCAGCAGCGCGCTCCCCAGCGGCTTCGGCGGCGCCAGCCCGACCAGCGCCCGCGGCGGCAGCGGCGACGCCTGGGTGTCACCCGCACCGGTGGCCGCGCCAGCCGACGCAAGCGCGGCCTCGAAGGCCGCGCCCGCAGCCGGCGGCGCGGCCCCGGGGCGATACGAGCCGGGGGTGGCCGGCCACGACGCGCCGGGGGGCGCGGGCGCGTGGGCGGGGGAAGCGCCGCTTGGGGGGCCGCGGCGCTCCGACAGGAGCGACCGGACGTGGGACAGCCGCGCGCGGTAGCTGGGGCGCCGGTCCGCGCCCTGCGGCGGAGGGCGGCCAGCGGGGGCAGGTGTGTGGGGCGTTGGGAGCCAGCGGGGGGGGGGGCTCTGAAGGCGGCGCTGCCTGCAGTGGCACGCAGTCAGGACGTGCCTGGCATCTCAGGGAGAGGATCAAACTCGCGAGGACGCCTTGCCTGGGACACTGCAATCCTTAGGGTTGGCGCCAAACCTGGGCTGTCGCTCAAGCTTGAGCTGTCGCGCGAGCATTTTGAATTCACCTGGCAGGTGTCGAGCAGCGCCAGGGAGCCGTCCCTGAGGGCCGCCACCAGGACAGACCCTGCGCCGATCGGCCCCGGCAGCGGCGCCCAGCCGATGCCCAGGGCTGACCCTACCCGCTGCATGCAGACCTGCGATTTTGCGAGGGGGCGCACCCAGGTGGATGGGTGATCGATGAGCTAGAGGCGGTCAGGCTTGCGAGGGGGGAAAAAACAGGAGGGCGACGAGGGCAGGGACGCGCGCGCCAACCCCATATCTTGGTGCCAGACAAGCAAGGGCGACGCCAGTCGCGACCGGCGTGGCCGGAAGCACACTCCGCGGATAGAGCAAGTACGCATGATTGTGCGCCCCCCACCCCTGCCTAAGCCCCCGGCCGCGGCCGTGCCCGCCCCCGTCACCTGCGGCGGCGCGACGCCCAGGCGCAGCCTGAACCCCGAGTCCACCTCGACGACGCCGAAGGCGCCCCCGGCAAACATCACGGCCAGGCGCATCCTGACGTGAAGGTCCAGGCCCGCGTCACCGGAGGGGTGCAGCAGCGGGCAGGGCGGCGGCGCGGGCGCCATCGCGCGCACGGCACCCATGCCTGGAGAGAGGACGCGATGGGAGCGGTCGCATGGGAAGCGGGGGCAGCAGGGTCGATGCACGTCGGTTGCTAATGGCGGCGGCGCTGAGACATAAGATGCTGAGACAAGGTGGCACGTTCGGGTAACCAATTAATACAGGGTTGGGGTCGGGCCGTGGGCGTGCCAAGGGAGCGAAGGCTGTGCGCTCGTTGGGCAGAGGGGCCCAAGATGCGACACCGCCACCTACGCTCACTCTCGCCCACGCAGGCAGGGCTCACGGGCGTCACTCAGAGACAAGTAGTCTGCCGGGACACCTTTCAACTCATCGGCGGCGCTTTGACTTTCGTTCCCTGTTTGCGGCGCCCGTCCCAGCAGACGATGGGCATGGATAGATTTGGCATCCAGATCCGTGATGGGCCGCCCTCTCTCACCTGTGTTGATGGCAGAGCACTTGCCAGTCGCGGTGTCCCAGCACAGGACCGTCCCCTCGCCGTCACCCAAGAACAAAACCTGCCCGGCAGCTGCCACGCAGGTGCCGAGGAGGTCCTGCCAGGGCGCATGAGTGTGTGAGGGCAGACGGGCGTGGGCAAGCGGCGGGCTGGAGGGCACGACGGTTGGTAGCTTGTGGATGGCCACGGTCCAAGCAAACCTCTGTTATTGTGGGATTGCACTGGGTTGTTGAATGATATGAAGCCGTCGCAACCCCAGGCCAAAGGGGCCAAAGGGGCCTGTCGACCCCATCTCAAAGGCGGCTGCGCAAGACGTGCCCAGATGTGCGCATGGCAGCAGCCCCTCAACCCCCGCCCTCGCGCGAGCACCTGCGGCTGCGGCCCTGGGCCGGGGGCGGGTCGCTTGGGCTTGGAGTCCGTCACCTTCCGGCCTTGCACAGTCAGCAGCCCAGAGCGACCGTCGGCTGGGTTGGGTGATGATCGTGGCAGTTTGGTGTGGGAGGTGGCATTGTCAGTGGTGGTCGTGGTGATGGTGTTGGTGGTTGTGATGGTGGTGTGGTGGAGGCAACGGTGGCTGTGCTGGTGGTGGTGGTGGTAATGGCAGAAGTTCGACACCCCAGCTTAACATGACGGCCGAGGCGCCTCACACAACCATCAGTTGTTGGCTGGGCTGTACAGGCATGGTGCCGGCTGCGCTGCAGCCGTTTTGTGAGGAGCCAAGCTCGGGCCATCGATTGCATTGGCGCACAATCGATTGCATCGGCTCAGGCAGCGACGCGGTCCCAGCCCAGTTTTGGAACGCGCTCACACGCTTTGCTTACAGCACCCGGTCTCCCATCCACACCAACGAGGTGGTGGCTGGGCTGGCTTCCAGGAATTCTGCTCGCCACTCACTCAAAGCAAATGCCAGCCGCTCCTCTGGCATGTCGGCTTCGGGCGCGCCCGCGGGCCTCGCCGGCGCCGCCGCGTCGGAGGGGTGGTTTGACTGGTGCTGCCCCGACAGCGCCGCGCGCAGCAGGGGGGCCGTCGTGGATGACATTGCAACCTGGGATATGCAGGGGTTGCCAGAGGGCCCAGGTGTCATCAGTCGCTAAACTCAGCCCACGAAATGGCAGCTCAACAAAGACTGATGTGATTACCTCCAGATGTGCATTTTTTTGATGAGGCCTGCGGCGTCAGCCCTTGACGCACACGCGTGCACGCACTTGTGCACAGCCACACCACTTTGCGTTGACTGCGCGTCACACGCAGATCGCCTCGCAGGTTACGAGTCTTGCCGGTGAGATCAGATCAGATCAGGTCAGATCATACGGCACACCTGCATGCTGAGCATCGTGTTCAGCGACCCCCGCATCGCGTCACCCGCCGCGCCCCGCCGCCGCGCGCCGCGCCGCATCGACGCGTCCGGGGAGCTGGTGCTCGGCAGTGGGAAGCCCGACGGCCCCGCGTCCTCGTCTCCCAAGCCGTCCGCGCCGAAGCCCGCGCCACCTGCGCTGTCCGCGCCGCCGTCGCGGCGCCATGACGTGTGCGGCGGACCCTGTGTGACGTCCCAAGGAGTCAGGAGGGAAAGCAGAGGGCGAAGCAGAGGACGGGCTGTGCTGTGCAGAAACAAGAGCCAGGGCCACACGTGCCAGCATGAGTATTCGGACCAACAGGTGCAGATTGCGCTGGTCTTTGAGAGCCCATGGTCGCGCTTGCTAGCACGCCGGCATCGGGGGACGCCGGTCAACGTCGGTCAATGCCGGTCAAAGCCGGTCAAGACAGCTCACGCTCTGCAGCTCCCACGGCGCCGTCGCGTCCGCCGGCAGCGCCCAATCAGCTGCGCCGAAGGGCAGGTCGACAAAACGCAGCCGGTGCGGCCGCGGCAGCGACCCGGGTGGCGCGGGGCCGCGGCCCTCCTGCTGCTCTTGCTGCTGCTGCTGCTCGTGGACGCCTGTGGACCAGAGCTCCGCGGGGGCGCCTCTGAACACCATCAGAAGGTAGGCGCCCGACGGGCTCGCGCGCAGAGCCACCAGGGGGCCGGCGTCGAGGGCCGTGTTGCTCCGAAACGCGACGCTGGGGGGAATGGGGCGGGGGAGGGGCGAGGCGAAGGGCGGCAAGGGGTGGATCGGAGGCGTGGCGGGTTGGCCGGGTGTGCGGGGCCCCCCACCCATTGCGCAGCTGTGCCGGCATTGCATAGGATCTCCATACCCTCCCGGGCCACACTGCAGGCGCAAGAAACCGAGCGTGGAAACGCCTGCTGAGTTGCTGAAGTCCGCACATGTCGTAGTTGTGCACGCTCACCACATGCTGACGCACGTTGCACGCATGCAGCACCCGCACGCATGCCCACTCAGGCGTGCACAGCCGCTGCGTGCGGACTCTTGGAAAACTTGCATACTTATACAAACATGCGATACATGGGGCATATGCACACACACACACACACACGCACACACACACACACACAACCCCCCCCCCAACACACAACACACACAACCCCCCCACATGCACAACACACACACCTCCTGCGAGTTATCATGCACGTCAGCGCCACGATGTTGCGCCACCCCTGGGCTCCCGCGCCGCCGCCACCCCCGCCGCCCGCGCCGCCGCCGCCGCCGCCTGCGCCGCCGCGCTCTGCTGCATAGCTGGCCAGCAGTGGCAGGGGCCCGAGCCATGCGATGCCGCGGACTGGCTCCCGGTGGACTGCCAGGGACAGGGCCACCTTGTGGCGATGTGTGTGTGTGTGTGTGGTGTGTGTGCGTGGTGTGTGTGTGTGTGTGTGTGTGGATGTGTGTGTGTGTGTGTGTGTGTGTGCACGCACGCATGTGCGCGCACATGTGAGAGTATGTGTGTGTTTGGGGGCGCGGGGAGAGGTACGCGTGTCTGTGTGTCGAAGCCTGAAAGCTGGAACTTGTGAACGTGCTCGATTGCACGTCGTGGGTACATGCACGGTTGCAACAAGCTCAGCCGACGCGCTACCACCGGTGCATGCACAAGCCGCCGAGCGGCCATTGATGAGGGCCCCAAACGTGTTCCTGACAGCGCCGCACATTGGAGCCGCTCGGGGGCGCCAGCCCCCGAGCAGGGCAGCTGGGTCGGGCGCTACAACCCCAGGCGTTCCGCAACAGCCAAGCGGGCAGCTTCATCCTAACTTCCGTGTCTGCTTCATCTCCAACATGCACGGGACGTAAACCAGCATCACCCATGCCGCTGACGCGCCACATGCTCGATCCCACCAACGTGCATCCACGATGGGTCGCCGCCGCCGCGCCCCAACTCCCATCCCAATCCCCGCCCCACCCACCTCGACAGACAAAGGGTTGACCAGCCCGCGCTGCACCACAAACACCTCGACGCTGCCGCTGACCGTGCCCGCGGCGCCAAGCAGCACCTCATGCAGCGCCTCAACCCCCTGCTCTCCGCCGCCGTCGCCGCCGCCGCCGCTGCCGCCATCACCCTCCGCTCCGTCCACCCCAACTGTGGCGAGAGGGGCCGACAAATTGTCACCAGACGCCGCCCGCGCCGCGCCGCCGCCGCCGCCGCCACGAGGCGCGAAAAACGGCGTGCTCGCCCCGCTGCTGGTCGGGGACAGCAGCGGGAAGCTGCTGCCGGTTGCGAGGCCAGCGCCGCTGCCCGCCCGCCGCGGTGCGTAGCTCGCCCGCTCGGCGCCGCCGCCGCTGGAGCCCGCGGCGCCGCCGCCCTGCGCCGCGGCGGCGGAGGCGGCTGCCGCCGCCTCCGTGACCGCCTCCGCCGCCGCCGCCGCGGCCGCATGGCCGGCGTGTGCGGAGGGCAGCAGCAGGGGGCGGGGGTGCATAGTGAAACAGACTATGCCGGAGGGCAGGCCGTGCAGCAAGCCGGTCAGCTGCGGCGGCACGGCTTCTGGGGAGGCACGAGAGAGGGACGCCTGCTGCTGGACTTGCTGCTGCTGCAGGTCGGAAGGTGAAGGGAAGGAAGGGGTGGGGTGGGGTTGCTGGACATTGGAGGGATGGCGCACACAGGTGCTGAGTGTGGGTCTGTGTGTGCTCACATGTGTGTATGTGTGGGGTAAGAGAGGTCAGGTTTGAGCAGCAGGAGTGCCGTAATTCCCTCTGGCAACCACGGACTGCGACAGCGCGACGGACGTGGGATATCGAGTCAATAATCTGCCAGAATGGTCTGATCTGACCGTGATCTGAGATTGCGCGCCGCGCGCCTGTATGCTCTGCGCCATGAACGTGATGGGCGTGTCCTCGGTGCTGGTGACAAACCCCTTGCGGGGAAACCTGGGGTTCGGGGATTGTTGCCGTAGCCCAAGAGGTTGTGGGGAATGCGGGTTCAGGGCGCCCGTGCTCCAGGTGGTGGGCGGCGAGAGACGCCGCAGAGGCGCTCGACTCGAAGCCTCGGTGCGAAGGCGACCGCATTCACCACGCAACCAGGCAACAGGATGGCGCGGACGGCGGCGAGCAACCCTCTTGAGCAAGGTCCCAAGATGGCGGCATGTGCCATGTTTGCTCCGTGTACAAGCTTTGGGAGAGCAGCACACAAGTGGGCAAACAATGGCAGCGGGAGCAGCTCACTTTGGCACCGGAAGGTCCCACTGCCAAACGCGGCCATCAGAGGACACCTGCGGCGGTGGGCAGCCAGGTGCATGTGGCCAGGGCGGCACTGTTGTGAGTGTGGGCTTGGGGTGGGGATCGTGGGTCATAGGGGTGAGTCAGGCAGTGTGGGGTGCGGAGATTGAGATGCGCTTGTGAAAGTATATGTGCATATGTGTGTGTGTCTGATAGGGGCTGGTTGCAAATGGAATGCGACCGCTAGAACCACTCGCCAGCAGCACCGTAACCAGTGCATGTTCGGGCAGCGTGTTCGGGCCGCACCCCCCCCCCCCCCC